TCCACCGCCTGGGAACCGACGTCCTGGTGCCCCCGCGGGCGGCGGATGTGGATACGTATGTGTTGGCCCCCGGGGGGCCAAAACATGTCCACATCCACCGCCTGCCGAAGTCCCTGGAAATTGATCCTCCAGGCGGTGCTTCTGGATAACCTCCCGCCTGGGGGAACCGGAATCGGAACCCATCGAAATCGGAATCGAGGAGAAGGAGGAGGAGGAGGAGGAGGAGGAGGAGGAGGAGGAGGAGGAGGAAGGAGGAGGAGGGGGAGAGAGGAGGAGGGGGAGGAGGAAGAGGAGGAGGGAGGAGAGGAGGAGAGGAGGGGAGGAGGAGGACGAGGACGAGAGAGGAGGAGGAGGAGGGGAGGAGGAGAAGGAGGAGGAACACGAGGAGAGGAGGACCGGCCCCTCCAGGTCGAGGGCGGAGGCGCGCTCCGCGGCGGCGTGCACGCTGGGGCTCAGGGGAGGGAGGGGCAGGGGGGAGGGGGGGGAGCGAGGGCAGGGGGAGGAGAGAGGGAGGGAGAGAGGGCGAGGTTGGAGGAGGGGGAGAGAATGGGGGAGAGAGGGGGGGGAGGGGGAGAGGGGGGGGGGGAGGGGGGGGGAGGGAGGGGGGGAAGGGGGAAGGAGAGAAGGGGGAGAGGACGGGGGAAGAACAGGGGGAGGAGCATTGGGCGACGCCCACGGCCGGCGTCGCCCGCAAGCGGGGCTCGGCCTTGCTTGCCGATGACCTGCGCGGCCAGGGGCACGAGGGGGCGGGCGGACAGGAGGGAAGAGCGGATGCGGGCATTCGCGCAGAAGCACCCAGGTCCAGAGCACCGAGGCGACGGGGCGATGGGGGTGGGCAAGGGAGAGGGCAGGGCGAGGGGAGGGAGAACGGAGAGGGGACGGCACAGAGGTAGGGTACCGAGGGTGCAAGTGCCGCTCGCACGCAGGCGAACAAAGCAGCACAACTACTATCGACGAACTGCGACCTCACTGCTCGATCCTTCTGGCGTGAGCGCTCCCAACCGACAAGCTCATCGGGCGAGACGAAGCCATGCAACAAAGCGACGCTGGTGGCGCCAAGGCTGAGAAGGCGAAGCAGGCGTCCACTCGCCTGCTGCCCTCCCTCTTCAGCCACAAGGACCACACTCCCTGCTGGCGACGAGGCCTCAGCACAACCTTGCACTCTACCAGCTCCGCTGTTGGGAGCATCGGCAGCTTCACCACTAGGAGCAGAGGCCGTGAGAGACCCCCGAGCAGCACGCATCCGCAAGGACGGCGCGCAGGCCGTGCGGGGACGACGAGGACGAGGTCTGGCGGCTCCTGTCAACCCACCGTCCCGCGACAGGCAGTGGCCGCGAAACGGGGGCCTGGTTCCGATGATGCCTCCCGCCCTGGCTCCCGCTCCCCCCTCCGCGGTCTACGGCAACGATCTGCTCCTCGGTCGTCGCCAGGAAGCAGTCGCCTCGCCACCCTCACACCCGCTGCTCCGGAGCATCTTGACGAGGGGGAGAAGGGAGGAGAGAAAGAAGAACAGGGCATGAGGCGGAGAGTCCCGTGCAAGGCGGGAGAATGAGGATAGGATGAGAGGGGAGGAAGCACGAGGAGAGGAGGAAGAAAAAGAGGAGGATATGAGAAGGCGCTTGGAGCAGGGGGGGGCGGATGATGGGGAGGAAAAGAGGCGGGGGAATGCGGGGAAAGGGAGGGAACGAACAAATATCCGGAGGAGGAGGAGGAGGAGGAGGAGGAGGTGTAGAAAACAGAACCGGAATAGGGAGACAAACAAGTGGAGAAGGGAGACGAGGATGCGGAGTATAAGTGTTTCGTAGAAATCGTGCGATGCTTGAACAACAAAATGACATCAAAACAACGGCACGCTGGGAAAAACATGCAAACTAAACGGACGCGTGTCAATGGGTGTACGTATGCGGCGTTTGCTCACAGGCGTGCCAGGCATTCGCAATCACATAACTATGTGTGTTGCGCATTTGAGTAACAGTACGGAGCCGTGCAAGTAGCAGTACGTAGCAATACCCCGCAATCGGAATCAAATGACCAGAATTAAACACTCATCGACTCCTCGGCCGCTGGCTGAGAGGGGAATCTTCGGACATCCTGGTGAATAGAATCGTCGGGGCAGGACATGCCGACTGGTAACACCCATTGCCAGAGAGCCCCTGATTCGGATGTATGGGCCGACGGGGCATCGATTGGGGCTGGCCCCTGGAAGAGGCGCACGGCACGACCTCGGAAAACGTTTGGAATGCGACCTCACGAACAAGGAGCGCCTGACACTCCGCTGCTATCCTGGCGCCTGCGACAGCACGCTGTTAGGCCAGGGCTGAACGCGCCCAAAGTGCCCAGGGGAGGAGGAGTAGGAGAAGGAGGAAGAGGAGAAGGAAGAGGAGGAAAAGGAGTTTTTTGTTTGATCTCAACGCCCAACTCCACTGCAAGCCTGCTTGCAGCAGGCAAAACCTCGCCCCGCAATTAATGGACATGCTGCAGTGAGACAAAAAGTCGAGCGGTCGACCGTCGTACCTGTACAAGGAGACGGGACCGCTCATCGAAAACAAATCAAGCGCTAAAACCAAAAACGAGCTTGTCTGTTTCAACCGTGACGCCAAGTTTCTGTTTGCTAAAATGCGGGCGGGAGCCCTTGCACAAAGCGTCCCACCCATAATGATCAGCCTGGGAGGGAGGAGGAATACAACGTGCCCCGGACCCCGAACCGAGGCCCCAATCGAATGGCGCGCGTGTAAACGAACAGGACCGCATCGCCCGAGCAATCAAACGCAGTGGTGCGATGTTCGAGCAGATCCTGCCTGGCAGCGTGGAGCTCCGAAAACTCAGAACACCGACCTGGCGCAGGGCGTTCCACAGTTCGTGAGCCTCGCGAGCAGACGGCACAGCGGCCGATGCTGGACCAGCGCTCACATCTACGGCCGGGCCCCTGGGAGGCAGGGGTGCGCAGAACCCGCTCCGCCGAACGCAAATCGATGTCGGGCCACAGAGAAAGCAGATTTGAAGGGGCCCAGGGACACACAAATAAACACACACACACACACAAATAAGAAGGATTCCCCAAATTTCCCTATATGTTCTGGATTTCTGTCTTCCCCACCACTGCCCACATTTTCTGGGGAGTCGACGATTCGTTGTGTCTGCGCGTTTCTTTCCCTCCTGAAGATTGGCGGCGAGCGAGTGGCACGAGCTCGCCTGACAAGCGCGATCGCCGCGTCCAGCTTGCAGGGGCCCCTCGCGTGGAGATCGACAGCCAGCTGCGCACTGATGTCGGTGCAGTGGTTGTCCATGTGCTTCCAGCGCTCGGGATCGCCGATCTCAGCCCCATCGATATCACGACGGGCGGCGACCTTGAAACAGGGCGTTGGCTCAGCACCCCGCGCGAAAATCTGCAGGAAGGCATCCGCGTAAACTAGCTTGCCCGACAGCTGCTCACCCCGAGGACGACGCGCTGGCTTGACCACATCTTCGCAATCCGAGCGCACAGGGATGCGATCCGAGGCCAAAACGGTCGCCCAACAAACTCTGCACTTTGAAATGTCTGGGGGTGAGGGGCCCAAACAGGAACACGAAACTCCGCGATGCAATTCCCAGCGTCGTCTACAATGACGACACTACTGGCAGCTCGACTGAACTCTCGAATGGGATGTCTGGCGCACGACCCGCCCATGAAAAAGCTCCCCCACAACTCGGTGCCGGGGCGCTGCTCATTCGATCTCGCAATACTTTGCGACATCACGCATGGACTGGGCCATCGTCAAACTCCGTAAGGGGCCGGGGGTGAGAGGCCGCAGGATGGCGAAAAGACCCAGAGATACAAACGAAGATGTCGTCACTGGGCCGCTTTAGCTGCCAACGCTGTTTCCATGATGCTGGCGTCCAATGGCTCAGCGCGAAGCTCGCCCGCTGGTCGAAGATGGCATCCTGGCAGCCGTGAAAAAAATGGAGTATCTTCGACAAGATATCCTGAACACTTGGCCCGGAACCTAACGAAAAAGCCTCGGTAGCAAAAGCCCGAATTCTGGTTTTCTGCAAGGACGCGCATTTCTTGCGACGCAACGCCGCGCGGGCGACCGATGCCGCGGCAAACGCGAGGAAGCCCCCCCCCCCGATGTTCCCCCGAGACCCACTCCAGCATCGGGGGCCCGACGAGGGCCCGGTCGAAGAGGCTGGAAAGCACGGCCATCAACTCACGCCGAAAAAAAAATTCTACGCGCGCCAACCCGGGTGGACCAATGATGGGCTTGTTTGCCACCACCACCACCATAAGTTGGAGGGGGAGGAGGAGGAGGAGGAGGAGGAGGAGGAGGAGGAGGAGGAGGAGGAGGAGGAGGAGGAGGAGGAGGAGGAGGAGGAGGAGGAGGACCCCCTCCCCCTCCAACTTATGGTGGTGGTGGTGGAAAACAGGCCCATCAACCAAGGTCATGCGCAGGGCGCAGGTCGGGCCCGCAACCTGCCTCCAAGCGCAGGCGGGCTGCGCGGGCGCCGACCCCCGAGCCTGCCTCCTGGCGGGGAGGGGGGTGGCCCTTTGATCGGACGACGTCTTGATGGGCCTGTTTTCCACCACCACCACCATAAGTTGGAGGGGGAGGAGGAGGAGGAGGGGGAGGAGGAGGAGGAGGAGGAGGAGGAGGAGGAGGAGGAGGAGGAGGAGGGACCCCCTCCCCCTCCAACTTATGGTGGTGGTGGTAGAAAACAGGCCCATGACGTCTGGCCATGACAACCACCCTTTGCCCATTTGAGGACGGGGGGCACAGCGACGCGCCGCGCGGGGTCGCCATCCAAACTGGCGGCTGCGGCCGGCGACCGGAGCTGCAAGCGCGGCCTGACGCATGAAAAATCGATAGCTCGCGCCCGCGACCTCAGACCCGCAGGGCGCCCCCGCGAGAGGTCCAGACGAGGGCGTCCCGATCGCCGCAGACCCGTTTAGCGCGCGACTGTGCATATCAAGCCGGCGGGCACGACGGGCAGATTTCGCCCGTCGAGCTTTCGAATTGGCCGACCGGCAAGCCGCCCTAACGGCGCGGCCAGCCGCATAGTCAATGGCACGCATGCCTGAGCTGCACGTGAAATTGCCTCCAAGAGCCTGCAGCTGCGACGAGATGTAGCCACGTAGCGCCTCAGAGGGCCACCTGTTTGGGACCGAGGGCCTCGCCTCCTCGAGCACGGCTCACCGCCGCGACAGCAGTTTTTTCCAGCGCGAAAGAGCAGACGACAACTTGCTCGACCATTAACTGGAGCTCCGACGCCCCGCTGACGAGCGCCGCGGACACCCGATGGGGCAGGTCGGCGGAAAGCCCTCGGTCATCAATGTAGACGTCGAGGTCGAGATTGCGACGAGAGGCGAAAGAGTTATGACCGCCCCGGCAAGGAAAATCAGAATGGCCGACGTCGCCATGGAGCAGCCCCTCCATCGACGCAGGAGCAAGGCCCCGCCAGCCGGCCTCCAAGACGCAGATGCCTGCCGCGCTGGTGAACATGAACGCGCAAGCGGGCGATAATTAACGAAAGGGGGCCGCGCCCCGTGCATCTCGCGGCCAGCGCAGAAGTCTGATCTCATCGCGGGATGTCCGGACGTCAAAGAGCACGCCGCATAAGGCCCGCCCTGTGGCCAGCCCGCAGTCCGCGACGAGAGCCAGGCGCCCTGCCGCGTCAGTCGCGCCCCTCGTTTGCCCGGCGGCCCAATGCCTCCCGGGGCGTTCCTGCCCCCAGCCCAGGGCCGCGGGGCGCCCGCAGCGATCCGGGGCCCTAGGCCAAGAGTAGAACGCCCCAATTGGCCTGTGGCTTCTAGCCAGCCAGGGAAGAAGGAGGGCGAGAAAGGCCGCGGAGATCTGGGGTGGCGCCCAACAGCCCCCATCGCAGAAACAGAAAACATCGGGCTGGCAATGGAAGCAACCAACCGACGCCGCCGAGGCCTCTCGATGGGGCCCCGAACTGCCCCGAGAATGATCCGCGGCGAAACGGGAAGGGAGAGGACGCACAAAATCCCGCCCAGCTGAGCCCCCACTCCTTGACCCCAGAAGGTTGGGGACCTGATTATCCCCTTCCGGCTGCAAAGAAAAGGGATCATCGCCCCCGGCGCGCCCGTCGGAGGCGAGGGCGGAGGCCAGGCTCCGAAGCGCGGGGCCCTCCGTGAGGTCGCGCGCTCGCCCGGCCCCCGAGGCGAATTCCAGCGCGCGGCCGCGCCGACCGACCCGCCCTGCTCTCGGCGGCGCACTCGCCGCCGGCGGCCTCGACGGCGCCCGCCGCCTCCGCCCGCCGGTCGGCGGGGGCCTCGACGGCCCCGCGGGCGGAGACTTCCTGAGCCATTCGCTCCAAACGGGGCGCGCGGCAGGCGCGCGCCGCAGCAGTCGCAGCCGGGGGGGGCCCGCAGCAGAGCGCCCGAATTCCTGCGCGAGACGAAGGGCCCACCTGTTACGTTTCTTCGCAGTGTTGAAGTCCCAGGAATGGCGTTCTGGCACGATTCAGGATCGTCAACACGCAATAGTCAGGTTGATCCGTGGCGTTGGAACGCCGAGAATAATGTTTTGGAATGTTTCAAGGTCTTCAAACAACTGTCTTCCAACGAGGCAGTTCCCTCCATGGACATGAACCGATGGAAGGGCCCATGAAAAAATGAGTTTGAAGGGAGGGTTTCTTCCAACATCGTTGATGACTCTTGGGTTTGCACTGATCTTCCTCCTCCTGTTCTTTCTCATCCTCCTCCTCCTCCGCCATTCTCCTCCCCTTCAGTCCTCATCCTCATTCGGGGGCGCGCAAACATTGATTAGCGATCCATGGATTTGGCGCGCGGTCACCAAATCCATGGATCGGGGGCGGCGCACTCCCCAAAATGCGGCCGGTGGCACCCCGGTCGGCGGCGGAAAGCCGCGATTCCCCTGGGAATGGACCCGTCGCTGATCCACGCCCCCCTAATCCGTGCTTGCGACCGCCTGATATGTGCGCCCCCCCTCCTCCGTCACCGCCGTCCTCGAGCGTACCCGAAGCGGACCAAGTTCGATTATCTCACGGACGGCCGGGCGACCTGATGCCGCGCACATCGAACGGCCTCCCTGTGGCGGCGCTCGCTGATCGGGGCTCGGAGCTTGACGAATTCATGGTGAAGGAAAAAAACATGGATGGCGGGAAGACAGAAGAGCATCCTCCGTCACCGCCGTCCTCCTCTTTGGACGCCAGAGATGGGTACGGAAAGAATGGGCACAATGCCCAACAGCAAATGTTGTCCCGAGCCAACAGCGGCCGCTGTTGGGCAAGCGGCCTTCTGCCTCAAATGGACACAGGCCGCGGCGGCGTGGACAGCGAATCCTGCTCAAAATGAAGAAAAGCAACTGCTGGTGGGCATCGTGCCCAGTTTTTCCGTGCCCGTGTCGGGCGTCCAGATCCTCCTCCTCCCCCCCGGGCCCCCGCCGCCGCACGCGCCGTCCGTGGTCCCGCACATGGAGCAGGCCTTCGCCGCGCGGCCCCCGCACCAGACGCCGGCGGCCGGGCGCCCGTGGGCATCTCGGCGCGGGGGCTGCAGAGGCAGGAGGGGGCGAGGAGCGAACGACTCGGGGGGCGACAGGCGGCGGTGGACAAAGCTCCCCGTGGTACAGTCGGGCTGCTGAAAGAAGGAGCGCTAGATAAGGAAAGAAGCCCCTCTGCGGCTTCAAAGGAGCCTGGGTGTACGAGGAGGGCTAGAGGAGCAACCGCGGAAGGACGTAAGGAACATCGAGCCCCTTCCGAATCCAAAATGTTCCTTATTTCGGCGTCTTGGCTGTAAGCCTCCCTTTCGTAAAAGCGGCCTAGGACTGAAACCGACGCGCAAAAATAACGGCCGCGACGCCCCTTCGCGAACCGAAGACGGCCAAGTCGCCAATCGACGCGTCAGGGTCGGAGGTCTATCAACCTCTGAGACAGCGGACCACTTCACCGATCATGGCCACACCGATGCTGGGCCCAAGGTCGGCGTATATGCGTCCATGGCTTGGTCAAGGAGGGCGTCCAGGCTACTAGCGGAGACGAGGCGATCGGGGCGCGTGGCCTCTTGGCTACGGTACCTGCTGTGCCGCGAGAGGCATCAAGAAGACGGGTCTTCGAATGTGTTAGCTGGTCTCGGGCTCGTGGGGGGGAAGGGGTCCTGGAATGCTCTCGCAAGCTCCTGTAGGGCCCTCCACGGGCCGTCAACACCAAAAACAACTCGGGATGGAAAAGTGGTCCTGAAAAATGCTCCCGGGTCTGGGACAAGTTTCCCTCAGGACCACCCTCCTTCATGGCGAAGGGAAGGGGAGGAGGAGGGAGGGAGGTGGCGTGGTAGGGGGACTCTGGGGGGGAGGTGGAAGGGGTGGCTGACATGAGGGCGTTCGCAGGGCGTGCGGACTATTGGAACGCCGCTGTTTGGGCATCCTGACGGAATGCTCTTACGATGTTGGCTACGTATGGGACAATGAAGCGAATTGATAAGATTGAGGAAGGGAAACGGGTAGGCGAGGGGGAGGTGGCAAGCTAGGCGCGCTCGCGTCTCATCTGACATCCAATCCTCCCAGCCATCCCTTCGTGCGCAGTCCAAAAATAATTGTAGCGTTGATGCTTCTTTGACGGGCGGCGGAAACAGGGGCCCTGTAGCGCAGGGAGCCTAGCCACTCCCAGAAACTTGATGCCCCAGGGTGGTGGGTGGGTTGCTCAAAATCGACCGAACGCCTGGGCCCAAATGGCCGCAGGCATCGGGCCTGCAGGGAGGTTGAAAAAACAAGGTTGTCTGAAAACAGATACCGTGAAATTCTAGGTTGTCGTGTAGAGATCGCACCCCCGAAGCGGAGCAGGGAACAACACTAGGAAGTCAAACAACCAGAACCAAACCCACGACGCGACACAAAAGAAACCAGAACATGCCCCGAAAATGTGTTGTGGTCACACTTTGTTATTTTTCTTTTTGACAAAAAGACGAAGTAGAAGCGAAAGCGCCGGCCGGGGTCTCGCGGCTTGCTCTGAACCCAAAACGCACGTGGGAAGCTCTGGTGCAAGATCGGAGGGAAGAAGCGGGAGATTTGGTGGGTGATATGCGGGACGATGTGGAGGGTCCAGCAGGGGAAGATCTGGGGATGTCCAGCGGGAGAGTTGGTGGGTGATATGGCCATCAATCTGCTGGAGAACATCTGGGGGGAAGATCTGGAGGGAACATCTGGAGGAAGATCTGGAGGGACGTCTGGCGGAAGATCTGGGACAAGATCTGGAGAAGACTCTGGGGGGTGGGAGATCTGGGGGAACGTCTGGGCAGGGATGCGGGGAATGTCCAGAGGAAGACTTGGCGGGGTGATATGCCACTAGATCTGGAGCAAAATCTGACGGAATGGGGAACATCTGAAGGACAATCTGGAGGGAGATCTGTTGGGAAGTTCAGATTGAATAATTGTGGAGAAGGGGGATCGGGACCGGTAAGGGGAACGGGGGTAGGACGAGAGGAGATGGAGGAGGAGGAGGCGGAGGAGAAGAAAGAGGTGGAGGAGGAGGAGGAGGAGGGGATGGGCGAGGATAAGGCTGCAACGACGACAGGAGGATGGCTCATGGAAGGGCCTCCCCACTAGTTGCGGCTACCGACCGGGGCTCCCGATGGAGTCTCACTGCTGCACCCGCCTCGGACCCAACGGAGCTCCGCCTCCCCCCCACGCCACCAACACGAGCGATGCAGCTGCAGTGGGCGCACGACCAACACCGACCGAGCTCACGACTGCACGAGGGGGTGGACGCGCGACTACGGCTCTGCCCGCCCTGGGCGTCAGCGTTAAGTCGGGCGTATAAAAGCCAGGCACAGTCGCAGTCGACCTCCCGCGGACGTGGGCCAGGGCAGCGCCGAGCCACTCGTGGGCCGAAGCGGTTCGAGCGTCGGCCGCATGCACCCTGCCGCCGTGGGGACAGTTTGCCACCTCGCTGCCGCTCGAACCCACTGTTGGCCGACGTGTTCAGGAAGGGAGCTGCGCCCAGGCAAGAGCAGCATCTGACGAGCCGACGGGAGCCAGGTCCTCGCCGAGCCAGAGCCTCTGCTGCGCGGGACCCTCCAGCGAGCAAACCTGACTCCTCCGGGGTCTCCGAACCCGGGCCTTGGTCCAACCACCGTGCACAAGGTTCCGGTCGGCGCAACCAAAGCGTGAGAGTGGGGGGCCGCGCCAAGACCTCAGGAGAAGTGAGCACCTCTTGGTCAGCAGCGGAGGCGAGCGCCGACGCGGTCGAAAGCAGGCGCGCGGCGCGCGGCTGGGGCACACTGGGCAATATGAAAAGACGAGGGCGGCCGCTGAGGGGGAAGGGGGGGAGAGAGCCCAGGCGTAGCGAGTCCCCATCACTCGGGGATGGACAGACCCCCCTATAGTAAAACGTGGTTTAGTAAAAACGACCTGAGGCCCAAACTTGGCGGGCGCAAGCCTCGAAAATAGCGGCCACGGCGCCCTCTCGAGAACCGAAAACGGACAGTTCACTAATCGACGTGTCAGGGTAGGAGGTCTGTCCACCCCCGAATCACGAGGAGTGCGGGGGCGGCTTCAAGCACCGAAAACCAGTGTGCCGAAAGGTGTGCGGTCAGTCCGGGCTGCCAGAGGCGAAAGCAGCACGATCCCACATGGACAGGCATGCCGTCAACCACCGAGGGGGAGGCAAAATGCCCGAGTGGAGCCAGGGCGGCCAGTGGCCGTTGCCAGAGAGTCTAGGCTCAGGGAGGCAGGACGACGGCCCGATCCAAGGACCAGGACCGTACCGAAGCGCAGCGCAACGAGCGACGCAGCGCGCCCGCGAGGTCGCCGTGGCGGCCGGGGGAGCGAGGCAAAATCGGGTCGGGCGACAAGGGGGAATCAGCTCACGTAGCTGATTTTCCCGGCGCCTCCCGGCGCCGGAGGCGGCTGTGTATCGAGGAATGGGCCCCTCGGTGAGGCCGAAACCAGCTGCATGCAGCAAATTTCGTAACCCCCCCTTTCCCAATCCCCCCCTTTCGTCGGGCCCGACAAAAGGGGGGGGGACAAGAAAGCAGGAAGGAAGGGGAGGGCGAGCCAGGCAAGCGGCCCGGTGCACAGCAACACGGGGGCCGCCATCGCCGAGGCTGGGCTGGGGCGCCATAGTGAGGCCCCATAGGGGTGCGAGGAGAAAGGAACACGTCTGAAAAGCTGAAAGCCTGGAAAAGCAAAGCGGCAAGCAATACCGAAGATAAGATCCGTCAACGTCGAAGCGTGAAATCGAATCGACTCGCGATGTGAGTCGGACGAGGCTGCATCGGAACAGAGCGAGTCGAAGACGAATCGGATCAACTGCGCCAAGATACACAACTACGCCGTGCAAACATTAGGTCATATTAAATCGTCTGAGTATATCAAGGAACCGAATCGAATCCGACCGGCCGAAATCCATATGAAATCGGATCGACGAGACGAATTGGACCTTTGAAATTGCCCACACACGCAAACGACGCGATCTTCTTCACAATACGTCGGGGTCCCGCGATCTCGATCCAAAGTCGCTCTTTGTGCAGGCCCCCGAAGAAACGGCCTTCCAGAGGCCAGAACCCGAAAAATCGACCGACCTGTGTCGTCGATGTTCTTCCTGACTCTTTGGTGTACGGTTAAATTGGCCGCAGCCTGGCAAGTTTCGTGGTCCGCTCACGTCGTTACGATCAGGAAAATGCTGCTTTAGCTTAGGATGCTTGAGGCATGGGGACGTTGGTCTCGGCTGCTGACTTGGACGCCCGAAACGAGGACGGAAGCGAAGAGGAGGATGTCCCGCAGCAGAATGTTGCCAGAACAGCCTCTGTGTTGGAAGGCGACTTCTTGCCCCCAGTGGACGACACCCGCTGCGACACCGACGGCGAACCCTGTTCAGAACGGACAGCAACCGCTGTTGATTCCCGTCCCCATAATATCGGGGAGACGTAAGACTCGGGTACGGGGGACTCGGGTTGGCCCGACGGGGCCATCATAAAAATGACGAGGCCCAATCTGAAATTTGACGCGAACTCCGGCTGCAGACATCCCAGGAAAACTGGACCGTCAAAATCCAAGACGCGCTCGTCAACAAAAACCTTGGCAGACCCGAGTTCCGGCTTACTCGGGTCTTGCGTTTCCCCGATAATAGTGTCCGTCCCCACTCCGATCGCACAGGCGTGCTACCATCAGGGACGCAGAATAATATGGCACCAGGAGGCTCCCCTGGCCACGGCGAGCCTCGGCCACGAGAGGGCTCCACGACCCAGGCCCGAGGAGTGGCCCGGACACCCGAGCCTCCCCCGAACCCAGAGCGGCCCTCATTACAGTTGGGCGCCCGAAATCTCCGGGGTGACTCGGGCCCGGGGCAACTCGGGTTCGGAATCCCGAAAAAGGAACCCGAGTTGGCCCTGACCCGAGTTACCCCTGATGAGTTGGGGCTCTGGACGCCCGAGTTCTCCGGGGTAACTCGGGGCACGGGGCAACGCGGGTTCGGATTCCCGAAAAAGGAACCCGAGTTAGCCCTGACACGAATTACCCCTGATGATTCGGGGCTCATGGACGCCCGAG